AAGTAAACTTAATTAACATTTATAGAACTCTCCACTTTAAATACACAAAATGTACACTCTTATCAGTACCACATCACATTTATTTACAGGTTTAAATGAAATATTGGTTGGCTGCTTGTTATTTTCTTTCCTAATTTTTTTTCATGTCTCTATTATTAAGCACAATTATAGGCATACCCATTTTTAAACTGCATTCTAGCCCGGGCAATAAAACAACACCCCCATTCTCTCTCCCTCTTCCTCTTCTTCATTCTTTTTTTTTTATTCTTTTTTTTCTTTCTTTCTTTTTTTTAGAAAAAAAAAAAAAAAAAGAAAGAAACCTGGATCTCCCTCCCCCAAGCTTAGAGCTTTTTTCAGAACACACAGCTGCCAGTCCACAGGTGATTCTGGGCAGAAACAACTAGGGGAAGAAGAATCCTGGGGCCAGGGGGTACAGTGTGGGATTATATAATTATATATATAGTTTAAATTCCTTTAGGAACTATTTTATTATGAAAAACACACATAACATGAGATCTGCTCTCATCAAAATTTTAGGTGCACAATACATTATCATCAACAACAAGCACAATGATCTGGAAGAAAAAAAAAAAAAAGAAGTCACTTGGCAACCTTCAGTTGGAAGATAGACTGATCTGGAGAATCTGAGATTGTTTCACTCACATGCCCGGTGCCCTGCAAGGCTGGCTGAAAGCCTGGGATCAGCAGGGACTGTGAGGCAGAGAGCTCACCCATGGCATCTCCAGCATGACAAGCCCAGGGCATCAGAACTTCTCATGTAGCACCCCAGGACTCCAGGAGAAACAGCTGCTACAATCCAGGAGGCAGTGCATGGCCTCTGTGACTTGGCCTCAGAAGTCACATCATGTCACATCCTTTGCACTTTGTTGACCGAGGCCGTCAGAAGGCTGCCCAGATTCAAGGAGAGGAGACATAGACTCTACCTCTTAGATGGAAGAGTCATCAAAGAATTTGCAGCCATTTTTAAAATAGCCAGTTTTCGTTGACTGCATGCTTTTATTTTCCTCTGTAATCACTCTCAGAGTAGAGCTCTTTATGGTAGGTTCTGTCAAATGACCTGGGGGAGCGTCTTTCTCAGGTCTCTTACAGGGAGGTACAGTACTGGTATACATGGCTCTTTCCTCGACCTGGTGTATGGCAGGCTCTCACCTGTGCTGCGCCATTCTGGATGCCACACTATTGCTGACCCAGTCGAAGACATGATTAACACCTTTGGAGACAATGTCACATCACTGACCTACATCAAGCTCTCTGTATACTACAGTCCCAGCTCTTTTTCTCGCTTGCCTGGAAGAACCTGCCCGCTTGCCAGCTGCTAGTCACCCCCCACCCATGAACAGTCCATGCCACAGTCTTCTCATGCTCAACACCAAACTCATTTGACTTTTGAGTTGATAAATTTTTGTTCTTCCGCTTTATTATGCTCCTAAAATCCAGGCATGGGACAGGCATCTGTCTGCTGCTCCATAACTGTCCATGAGTCACGGAGAGTGGCTCTGTGATCTCAGAGGCGTTTTCAAAACCAGGGTGTGTTTGCTAAATGATCAACATTGACACTGGAGGGGAGGGGAAGGGGTTAGGGAGTCCGGAAAGTGAGCCAGCTAAATCTTCATCTTCGAAAATGGCAAGGTTGTAGATAATGTCCGAAGTTGACAGAGCAAGGAAAAACATGCTATAAACATTTTACTGCATTTGGACTTGCGCGGGTAGTCAGTGAAAAACTAAGAACAGAAATGCTTCAGACTGGTTGCCTCTGGAAAGAGGGCTGGGAGGAAGAGCGGGCTGGGAGAGAGACCAGCTCTCCTCACGCTCAGCCCTGCAGTGCAATATAATATTTTACCTTGTGCATGGATTTTCTAATAAAAAATAGTGAGGTGCATTTGGATATTAAAAACATTACACAACAGTTTAGAGTCAGGCGTGGCATTTAAAAGGTCTGATTAGAGGTTGAAGTTTGTAATTACATTTTATAATGGGTTGTTTTTTTACTTTGGTTTTAAGCTCTGTTTTCATTATTTTGTTTTTTAGAAAAATCACAAAATTGGGACAAAACCAAAAGAGAGTTGAAGAGAACGGTGGAGGGCAGGGGGAGAAAAGCTCCCCAGTGAATTCAGCTGCCCTTTCTGTATCACTCTATGTACTTTGATTTTATGTCCTTCTGGAAAAATTAAATTGGAACTCCCTTTATCACTTCTTCATTTCATTTTTTTTTTCCGCTGTAAAAAGGGCAAGAGCTTAATGTGCCACAGACTAAAGCTGCAGGGGCAGCTGGGCACACATGGGCAGATGCCCGAGGCTCTGGGCAGCTGGCTGGGTCTTCCACTCAGTTTCCAAAGTACGCAGTCGTGGCAGCAGCTGGAACCTGGCAGGCAGGTGACAGGGAGACAAGCTAAGGGGGTGCATGGTGTTTCTGTCTGGTTTAATGTTTTAAAAAGTAATAGCAATAGTTAAATATCAAAACCAAGTATCCCTGAAGTAAATGTTTATCCTTTAACCATAAACATATCCTTTTCTACCCTTTGAGAA